TGATTTATTCCCTACTGAAGACTTTGCCTGTATCAATGAAGCCAAGACAGTAAAGCCTTGATTTAATGATAACCTCCTGATTCAAACAGCCAACATCCCATAGACATATTTTTCTAGGTAATTACGCTTTTTCTAAAAATAGAACTCGCCATTAAGAAACAACCACTAATATTACTAATAACCCCTAACATTCATTGAGCTCTGTTTTCATTCACCAAACTGCCTCTCAACAAAGTAACTCTGCCAACATTTAGCTGTTTCCAAACACTGCTTGCTTTACCTTTCTTGGAGTTAGAACTTCTCAGTTTTGAAGTTCATGTCTTAACAGCCCTGTAAAAGGGCTCTGCTTAGCCTGGCTGGCTGTCTGGATCTCCACCTACCTCCTCAGCCTCCCTTTATCTCCTGGCTGTTAGAAACTGCCATCCTGCTCCGCAGAGCTGCTGGTTCCCCCACAAAGGGCGTGGGGTGGGTGTGGTCCACCTGCCTGCCTCTCCTCCCATCTGGTGTTTGTCCTGTAGAGCTTTCTCACACGTGCTTAAGGGGGTCTTGCTTATAGGCTGCTGGAGTTACTAAAACTCATCTCTAGCGGAATTCAGCTTTCAAAAACACACTCCCAAAGAATTCATTCTATTAATGCTTATTGAATACCTAGGAGGTGCCAGGTTCTGGGTGCTGGGGATCCAGCTGTGAGCCAGTACCTTCCTGGAGCTTATTATATTCTGGCGGGGAGACAGGCAATAAAGTAGGAAAGTAAGATTGAGTGATGTGAAAAGGGAAAAAAAAAAAAAAGATAAATAGAGCAGGGTACAGAGATGAACTAGGCCAGGCAGGGCAGGCCTAGGGGAGAGCGGTACAGGAGGAGAAAGGTGGTGCTTTCTGGGGACACGGATCTAGGGGTTCGTTCACCAGCAGGCTCTCCTGAGCGTTCGCTGTCTGGCCAACACCTTCCCCACGGCCAGCCTCCCGGAGGCAGCCGACGGGGACCTTCTAACGGCGCCGCAGGAGAGCCACGCCGGGAGCCCAGCTCGCCGCCTCCCCCGGAACCAAAGTCCGGAGGGAAACACGATCTAGCGGACCGGAGGGAAGAACCCACCGGAAGCAATCCGGAGACTCGAACATGGCGGCCGCCCGGTGCCTGCGCTGGGGCCTGAGCCGAGCCGGGGCCTGGCTGCTCCCGCCGCCCGCGTACTGCCCCCGCCGAGAGCTGCACAAGCAGGTAGACGGCACCGAATTCCAGAGCATCTACAGCCTGGACAAGCTCTACCCGGAGTCGCGGGGCGCGGACACCGCGTGGAGGGTCCCGGTGAGCCGGAAGGGTCGGACGGAAGGGGCGTGTCCTCGCCTCTGCTGGGTGACGTCAGGGAGCCGGCGCCCTATTGGCCATCCACGCCGTTAATCAAAGGGCCCCGCGGAAGGGGGCTGGTTGCCCGCGCAACCGAGCACCGGGGCCACTGGGCGGGTCTCTTTGGTCCCTTCTGGAATCTTTGGGAAGTTGCGCTGCCCTTAGCCTCTAGTAACCCCGCGCACCTGCGGAAACTGGGCTCCCGTTCGTTTCCTCGGGTTGCATTTAATGACAGCCCGCCGTGTGCAGGCTCAGCCCGGCCCCAGCCGATTCTGTGGACGGCAAGAGAGCGTTCATTCATTCAGTCGCGCGTTCAACCAGCTTCATTTGCAAGCAGGCTTCGGGCACTGCGCTAGGCATAGGGATAGAGTAGTGGAGAAAAAACACAAGAATCCTAAGGTTTTTGGAGCTTGAATTCTAATGGAGGGCACAGCAATAAGTAAAATAAGTAGTACAGAGTATGTGTGATGGTGATTTACTTTGGAGAAAATAAAGCCTGGAAGGAAGAGGAGTGCTAAGGTGGTGTTGCAGGGTTAAGTAGGATGGTCTGGGAAGGCCCCTGGGCAGCTGACGTTTGAGTAAGGATGTGGAAGAAGCAAGACAGCGAGCCATGAGAATAGAGGGGAGATGGGCATCCTTGTGGAGAGAATTGCAGACGCAGCACCTCAGGGCAGCTGCAGGCTCTCCCTGTTCAAGGAACAGCAAGCAGGACAGTATGGGGACCGAGTGGAGGTTTTGAGTTAGAGTGGAATGATCCAAGTGGGTTTTACAGGGAGCACTCTTACAGAGCCCTATAAAGAGCAAACCGTTGAATGGCAAGGACAAGACCAATTAGGAGATTGCAACCATACAGACAAGAGCTGAGCAGTAGGGTGGAAGCAGTAAGGGTCATGAGGATTGTTCAGGTTCTAGATATATTTATTCTGAAGGGAAAGCCTCTAGGACTTGCTAATGGATTTTCTATGAGAAGTGAAAATGAGAGGAGTTGAAGTCTGGGGCCTTGAGCAGTGGAAGGATCGAATTACCATTAATTGAGATTAGAAAGTTTTCTCATTCAGCAAAAAAAATTGTGTACTTATTGTGTCAGACACTGTCTCAAGCATTGCAGATACAGCTTCTGTTCTAGTGGAAGGAGCGGACAGTAAACAAATGGGGAGAACATATCAGATATTGAGAGATTTTGAGAAGTAATAAATAGAGCAGGGTGCTGTCATAGAGAAGGCTGGGGAGCTTCTTCATATCGTAAGGGATGTCCTCCCTGAGGTTTGAGGTTTGAGGCATCTGAGAGGAGACATCGAATAGCAGTTGGCTATGAGTCTAGAGTTGAAGAAGGAGGCTTGAGTTTAAGCCAAAAAGTTGGGAGTCACCAACACAGATGATATTTTTATCAACATGGATGAAATGTTCTGGGGAAAGAGTAAGATAGAGAAGAGAAAGGATTTCAGGGGCATGTTGGTGTTTCAAGGTTGCAAAGAGCAAGCAAAGGAGAGTGAGAAAGGCCTAGGGAGGGAAGAGAGAAAACAAGATCACTCAGAGGAAGGGGAAGAAGGTGCTTTGGGGAGGGTGTGGTTCATGGTCTTCAGTGCTATAGAGAAGTAGAGTAAGATGAGGATCCATCACCCGCCCCCCAATGACTCTAAGATGAAAAGAGATGGGGACAGGGAATGGGACAGGTGAGGATACTTGGAGCTTTGAGCTTAGATGGCCAGAAGAGCCTCAGAGGGGTAGTGTTTGCCCTGGGCCTGTGGACATGAGGCTCTAAGGCCAAAGGCTATCGCCAGAGGAACAGCACAGGAGAGACATGGAGGTATGAAATCCTGGAGGGAGTAGTTCAGTTTGACACAAACCCTCAAGGCAGATGTGCTAGTCACTGTTCAAGGCAGGCAAACTCCCAGGTGAGCAGAGAGAACACAGTAGCCCACAGGTTTGTCACTCCTGGTTGGCAGAGGGGGTTCCTTTCAGAGTCTCCCTGGTGCCTGTGAAGTCTGGTGCCTTCCCTCCCTCCCTCCCTCCCTCCCAGGAGCCAGGCCACTAGCTAAGGTCGGGGGCAGGGAAGGCTGGAGACGCCAGTTCCATTTTCCTAGAGGAGTGTTTCTGAGGCGGCACCTCTGGAGTTGGGAGAAGCTATCCCTATCCTCTGATATGATTTTGCTGGAAACCTGAAAATAGTTGTACTACATTTGTGTCATGGCTTTGCCTCATTTCTCTGGTTGCCCTGGACCAGTGAGGAGTCACCTGGCAGGTAATATTTATTTGACACTGTGTGCATTACATTACAGGATGCTGCAAGGCAAGCCAACAATGATATTCCTCTAGGTAAGTAATTTGGTTTTATAAATAAAATCAGCCATTTCTCCACCCCTCACACATTCCTTCCAGATCTTTCCAGCCTAATGGAAGTGAAGAAACCGTCTTTGGGTGTGCGAAGGTGGAGTCCTTTCAGCATTTAGAATAGCCAAAAAAAAAAAGACAGTGCAGCCACCCTGGCGTGCTTGCTGTGCAGTGTGCATGCAGCACAAATGAGAGCTCTTGATGTTCTTGTGACACGGAGTAACCTTTACAACAGATGAACTGATCATCATTTGAAGAAAGTAAGGTACAGAAGAATATGTATAGCAAGCTACCGCTTGTGTCTTACATATACATCCGAAATACATATATATTTCTATGTATGAACATAGATCTGAAAGGATGCACAAGAAGTTGGATAGGAGGACCGCCTTGGGGAGCGGAGAGGGCTTCTCCCTGCAAGCCGTTTGCCTGACTTTAGAACTGTGCACCCATCAAGCACGAGGCCTGACGGCATGGCCTGGAAAGAAACAGCCAGCCCTGTTCAGATTCAGAGAGCTTGTGACGTCCACAGACAGGGAAAGGAAGGGTATCAGAGGTGCGGGCTCCCTGTGGCCCGTGCTCAGGGCGACACTGAAACAAGGAGGCCAGGTGAGGGCAACACAAAGGAGAGGACACAGTGGCCCACTGGGTAGCTTGCAGCCTCGCCCTGAGGTGCACACATGCCTGGAGGGGGCGGAAAGCCTGTCTCATCAGAGGGGAGGCTCAGAAACTGTCATGAGGGCCTTTGGGAAGACGGAGGTGAGTGGGAGAGGGCCGTGTCGCAGCGCCTCACCTGCCTCCGTGCTCCTGTGCTCCAGGAGGACCACAGGCGTTCCTGCAGACAGACGTGGCTGCAGCGAAAGCCATGCCTCAGTGGCCTAGGTGGATATAGGCGAGGTTGCGGGCACCGTGATGATACCGTCCTCCTACAGTACCACGTGCATCTGTTACCTAATCTGTCAGAAGGAGGAAGCCTCTCAGAAGCAGTCCTGGGAATAGTCACCGCTGCCCGTGGACGCCTGCTCTCCACCACCAGGCTGCCACAGTTGTGTGCCACCCAAACTTCCTGCAGCTCAGCTTCTACTCATCTGAAATTTTCCTACTTCCCTCCTTCCCTCAGACACTGTGAGGCTACTTTTCATGAATTGTAAAAGCAGAAGGAAGAAACCTCATTTTACAGCTTCCAAACAGACACACAAACCTGAGACCAGAGAAGCAGCGGGACTTGGCCAAGATCACATAGCGGGTCGGTGGCTGTGCCAGTGTTAGGAGCAAGGCCTCCCAGCTGCTACTTGAGTGCTCAGGCATCCAGCAGATGTTTTTAAACGCTGACCGAGCGCTAGGCACTGGGAGTCCACAATGAATTAGACACACCCACCCTCTTGGACCTTACAGTCTTTTGGGCTCCACATCCACCACGTTTTGACATATAACATTAAAACTAAGTCTGTTCCTTAGGTTGAGCTTCTTAAAGAATCCTTGCTTTAAAACAAACAGCAGAAAGTTAGGGCAGCTGGGTCTGGTGGAATGTTCTGGACCAGAAGCAGATAACCCAGACCATAATTTTACATCTTCTGCTGTCTGTGTGACCTTGGGAAAGTCACTTACTCTTGGTTTTAGTTTTGACACTAAAAATAGTGTCCAATATAAATAGTCTCTATAAATAGAGTCTCTTACTCTACTGATCTGAATGTTACATTCATATATATGGAAGTCATTGAGAGAGATGTGTAATATTTTGCCATGAGATAGTCATTTCTTTGGCGTGTGTTCTGTTTTACAGATCGCTTGAAGATATCTTACTGTCGGAGTAGCGGTCCCGGAGGCCAGAACGTTAACAAAGGTAGAGGGCACCTTGTCCTTCTCTTTCACTTTAAAACTTAGTTGGAAGATGGACTTCAGGACTCTCTGTTTACATTCATGGGGAATAAAGGGCTTTTTTAGCAGGAGCTTAAACACTGCCAGTTTATAATAATCCTCTTTATTCTTTTGAGCGTAGTCTGGTTCTCGGGTGCTCAGCTGTGGGCGGCTGGAACTAGGATTGGCCTGTGAGCCTAAACAAAGGGAAATCACAATGTGAGTTGGCAGCCAGCTCCAAGCACAGGTTTCCTTCATTCTTGTGGAACCCATCCCCCCATTCTTTTCAGAGCCTGATAAACTGTAAGCGGAACGCTGGACATTTAGTTCCTGGAAGTTTATTTTTGTCCAAAAGTGCCTCACTATCTTTGCAGGCTCATTTCACAGCCAGCTTTGTATCCCTAAGTTGGCACAGGATAAAAACGGACCTGGTTGGGTTTCTCACCTGCCGTTGTTGCAGGATGGTCACCAGCCACCCAGGTGCTGAGCCTACCTGGACTCTCAGTGACTGTGCTACCTTGTTCCTTTCTTTCCAGTGAATTCCAAGGCTGAAGTCAGGTTCCACCTGGCAACCGCCGACTGGATTGCAGAGCCCGTGCGCCAGAAGATGGCCATCATGGTAACACTGGCCCTTCTTCCTTAATCCCTCAGTCACTTTCTGGCCTCTACTCGGTAGAACTCTGGTTTTGCCTTTGTTCTCTGCAGCATAAAAATAAGATCAACAGGTCGGGAGAGTTGATACTCACCTCTGAATGCAGCCGCTATCAGCTCCGAAATCTGGCAGATTGCCTGCAGAAAATTCGAGACATGATCGCTGAAGCCAGCCAGATGCCCAAGGAGCCATCCAAAGAAGATGCTGAACTCTGGAGAATCAGGTACCAGAAAACACCTAAGCTGCTTCCAACTGAGTCGTGGGGGTGGCACAGGGAAGAAAGGGGGCATGGTCAAGTCCATGACCTTCCAGCAAATAAGTGGAAAAGCCCCAGCAACAGGAGAGACTGACCGAGTGGAGGCTTGTGAGCTGGCGCCTGCTGATGTGGCTGCTCTGCCTCCTGCCGAGCTGCCAGCTCCTCTCACCATCCTGATAAGCACTGATTGGGCATCGCCGCCTAATTGTGGTCCTTTTGTTTGCAGGATTGAAAACATGAATCGGGAAAGGCTGAGAAAAAAGAGAATAAATTCTGCCATAAAGACAAGCAGAAGGGTAGATATGGACTGAAATCACTCTCCAGAGCTGGCGGAGACCCTCCGAGGGCTGTCCGGGCAGCTGGCCGAGAGCTCGAGTGCTGTCGGGAGACGGATTTGCTGTTTGCGATTGTTAATGCTTGTCCCTAACGCTGGAGCCGTCGGAGAGCGTTCATTAGGAGTGAGGGTGGTAGGCACTGGTTGCAAAGGTCTTTATAGGCAATTACGTGTTGTCAAGCCTTAATTATTCACTTACTGTATTAGCTTCAATAAAATTCTAAATGCAGTGGCTTCCCTTCTTCAGGTGCTTCAGAACAGAATCCGTACCCCTCACTGGTTGAAATCTGCCTAACAATTACTGCCCGGCACTGACTGCTGTCAGCCGGGGGAAACGGGGCTGAGCGTGGTGTCTGCCCTCAAGGAACACACGGTTGGGTAGAAGCTGTGTGTGGGTATCTGAGCAGGGCCAGGAAAAAGGTACAGAATTTAATCAGTAGAAAGGGGCTGAGCATATGCCAGTTACAGGGAACAGTATTGATAAAGGAAACCAAAGAAAAGGCTGGGGTGGGGGAGACAATGAAGAACCATCTGAATGGTGGGTCTGTGCAGGGGCTCATGGGGGAAGCCTGGGAAGGGAGACGGCTCAGTGTGGAGAGTCTCAAACTCAAGTTAAGCAGTTTAGATGGTGAGAAACATAGGTAACAGGGAACGACTTAAGTGGGAAGGAATGTCAGGTGTTAGGTGTCGTCGCAGGCTGTGGGGGCAGGAAAAGAGTGAATTGGAACTAGAAAAAGGGTTTTGCAATCTTACGGGTGTGGGAAGCACCCAGGCCAGCACAACAGTAGCAGGTTAGTCTGGCGCATATGAATTTCATAGAATGTTCTCTGTTATTTTGATCTAGTTCACTCATTTGACAAATAACTGCACTGTGATGCTCTCAGTGCAAGATAATAAACAGTAGTAGTCTATACACTTCATGTAAGCAGGGACCTCATTCATGGGAGTGTAAAAAAGGGGGGAAAGTCTTTGATAAAGGACTAGAAAATATAGAAGATGTGGAAGACATGGTCCCAGACCCCTAGGGACTGAGAGCCTAGTGGGGAGCAAGGACGTGCAACGTTCATTAGTTCATGAGACCCTGGGCGAGGTCCCAGGGAATCAGCAGTGAACAAAGCCCTTTCTTCCAGAGAACTGACATTTGATCAGTTGAAAATGGATTTTGTATGGTAACATGACCTAAAATGTGGTACATAAGAAAGGTCTTGCTGATGTGAAAGGAGATCGGTTTCTGCAGACTCCACATCTTAGAGAGAGAAACAAGAATGTGTCCAAGTTCCCTGGGCCCTCAAGTGCGGAGGATGGGGGCCCAGGTCTCAGGCAGGCATGACAGGAATGCACAGCCTTGGCTGGAGCTTCTGCTGTGACATCCTTCAGAGGAGCATAGATTCTAACAGTGGATTTCAGACCTTCGTAAGGTGTAAAAATACGCCTATTCTTTATTTGTACTGCTTTCTGTCTAACAGTGTTAAAGGAACATATTAGGGTGAAGCATCTATGTGGCTGATATATTTCTTTCCTGTGTATGATGCATTTGTATATAACAGATGCACCGCGTGTCAGACCCGCACTTGTTCTGATGGACGGCTTTGCTCCCCCTGCCCGGCGATGCTGAAATTCTTAGGGTTTATGTCTCTGTGTCATGACAGGTCGGTCTGTTCTGCTCGCCGCCTACCCCGCTCTCCCTAAAATCCCTGGGCTTTCTCAGTCAGTGGGGTGGACACGGTGGCGCCACGGTCCGGGTGTTCCCGCAGCCCCAGCCCCACTGCGGTCCCGGGGCGGCGGGGGAGGCTGGCCGGGGTAGCGTCCCGCATCCTCGCGGTCGGTTTGAGCTCCGGGGCCGCATCCGCGCACCTCCCCCACTCGGCATCCGGGGAAACGCGCGCCCCGCTAAACCTTCATCGGAAAACCCGGAGTGGGGCCGCCTACTAGGGGAAGAGGCGCCGCAGCTGTAAGCTGCAAGCCCCAGTGGCCTAATGGATAAGGCACTGGCCTCCTAAGCCAGGGATTGTGGGTTCGAGTCCCACCTGGGGTAGGGCCCAGCTTTTGACGCTCTGAAAATTTCGCTCCACCACAGCCCTGCCTCATTAGATCCCCCGAGTTCGCGGGCAACACCGGCAAAGCGACACCCCAGGCCCCCACTTTTCTACAGCTCCCTGGCCCAGGCTTGTCCCGCAGGCTTAGGCTGCAGGTGGCCCCAGGACACACCGGGACCGCGACGGGATGAAGGGGGCGCGGGCGGCAACGAGCCAGGGGCCGCGAACAGCGAAGGCGGCCCCGTTCGCAAAAGCGAGGCGGCTGCAGGGGCGGGCAGGGCTGCGGGGGCGGCGCAGCGCCC